CGCTCACTGTGTCACCCCTCCTCTGCAACAGGCCAGCAAACCACGCCCCCGCCACAGTTAGATCCAACATGTGGGAGAACCCTAAAGTTTTGTGGTCTCATGTGAGCTTGAGGAGATTTTCTTTGTGGACAGGCTGTGATCAGCTGAGCTGCTGACCTTTGTGGATTCACACAGCTGACTTTAACAGATGTCAGCAGATGAGCCATCTTTGCTAACTTCCATTTCTCAGAGTACAGCGGTCCTTCGTTTATCGCGGGAGTTAAGATCTAAAATGACCCGTGAGAGGTGAAATCCACAGAGTAGCCAACTTTATTTTTTACACTTATTATAGATGTTTTAAGGCTGTAAAAGCCCTCACTACACACTACACACTTTCTACACTTTTCTCAAACAGGCACGAACACTTTCACACTTTTCTCTCCTGTTTAAACTCTCAAAGTTCAAACGTTCAGAGAAAAATAAGTCCAGTGTTACAGAGTGAAACCAAAGATCAAACCCTGTTTTCAGGTGCAGAATAGATCAGCTGCCAGAGGATTCAACATTAATGAATCACTGGTACGGAAGTAGAGGCAAGAAGAATGAATAAAGTTTGTAGAGTAACAAAGTACAAGTACTTTGTTACTTCTCAGCTCTGTCTGAAACACAACAACACTTTCTCCAAAACATATAATTGAGGTCTTCATCAAACCTTAAAGGCTTCCTCTTTGTTTGTTTGTTTGTTTTGGATTTAGTTATTGAAGAATATATGTCAACAAACTTAATGTTTGTTTCAGTGTCTTTTCACGATTCTCTGGATGAGGCAGGCGAAGAGGAGAGAAAGAACAACACAGTGGAGTCTCTGAACAGAGGTAACACCAACTCCAGAGAAGAATATCGATATGTGTATTTTAAAGTGTTTTTATTTGAAACCTAATATCTTAGACACGCACAATGACAGCATTTATATGCAGTGTATGTGGGCTCTATGAATGAGTACAATGCAAATAAGACACTGATCAAGGAGCCCCTGTTAGCTGGAAATCAAGAGGCTGCAGTACAGTAACAGTAGTAAGCTGTGTGCATGTAAAGAGCCAACTGTGGTAGAACCGTGTGGTGTAATTCAGTGTCTTCAAATCAGAGAAGCCTAGAAACATGTTAGTTAACAGAGAAGGACTCTGAGAGACAGCTCCTGGATGAAAGAGAGGGACAAGATCTCAATAACTGAGTTCTAGAAACTGTCAAACTAAGACAAGTTTATTTATACAGCACAATTCAACAACAAGGTGATTCAAAGTGCTTTACAGAGACATTAAAACACAAATAAAAAGCATGATTTAAAATTGATTTAAAAAAGGACCAGTAGATAAAATCAGTAGTTAAAATGTAAGTTTTGAAATTTAAGCTTAAAAGTGTGGATTTGGTGTTTTATTCAAAAGCAGCTGAGAACAGGTGAGTCTTCAGCTGATCTGAGTTTGTTCCAGATATAAGGAGCATAAAGCTGAATGCAGCTTCTCCGTGTCTGGTTCTGACTCTGGGAACTGATAAAAAACCGGATCCAGACTCAGAGTCACAACGTTGGCCACTAGGATGAAGAGGCAGAAAGAATAAATAGCCTGTTTCTCCAAAGATTCATCTATGAGGGAATCTCAGCTACAATAGCACAAGCCAGACACACTGAGCTGAAGCTGAGATCATGTGGGTGGCTGTAGCTCAGGCCAACAGATGAAGCTGGATTATATTGAGTGCTCGGCACTGTACAAGGTGCTCTAATAGTGCCCTAATTATATTCATCAGAAATTCAGTGGGACTGTGGAAAATGACACTGGACACCATCTACAAGGCAATCAATCAAATTACCACAAAGTGTGCAACATACCAGAGTCATGCACTGTCCCCACTGCTGTTCATAGGCTTCACTCGCCTAAGTCAGCTCGTCATGAAGAGCAAATACCATCGGCCTTTTGGTGTACGTGGATGACATCGAGCTATATCCCGAGAGTTAGTGAGACGTTACTGATCCATCTCACCAGGATCTGCCGCAAGGATATCTGGATGTTCTTGTGACTGGATAAGGGTGGCTGAATGGTTGCAAAGAAAGGGAAGATGGTCCAGGCTGAATGGGTTGAGCTGTAAAAAGGCAGAATGGGAGATGCACAGGACAGCTACAAGTACTTACCCACAGGCCAACAGGAACTATGATGAAGCTGTACAAAGGGTAGCCACAGCCAGATATTTCCAGAAGGCGAGACAGCTGCTGAGAAGCCATTTGAACGGTAGCAATAAGATCACAGCCATCAATGCACGCACCAATCATCAGATCCCCCCACTAGAATAATACGCTGGCCACAGGAGACGATAGAGGCTACTCACACTGAATGCCAGAGCAGCTGACCTGAAAGAGAAGATCATGGCAAAGAAAATTTAGACTCTACACGGCTGTTTACCAAGACCGTGTCACGTACCTGTGAAAGTCTGCTAGAGGATAACAATGCAGCATTATGCACAATCCCTGCTGTGACCATCACTG